AGCTTCGGTGAACCCTACGCGGCTCATATTGTTAAGAACGTGGCCCAGACTCTCCTGAAGATTCTGGATTATCCCCATCGCTGTCATGTACTAAGCTTAAGGCATTCGGGTCGCTATCTTCTGAAAAAATATCTTCCAAACTACCGCTACTTACACGAACTCCCACACCAGTTCTACTGGGGAATATGTGTTGCGCAATATTTTAGTTCCACCGCTCACGTCACGACTTCTCGCTATTGTTTTTACCGGAAATGGAATTTCAGTTGAAAATGCCGATTTTCTCCTAAAATAAGTCGAAATGGACAAAACGAATTTCAAATTCGTTTTCTAAGCCACTTTTTACATAGTATTAGAAAAACATGTATTTTTGGGTTTACATGCCCTTTAAGGAAATCAATACCCTGCTATATGACTTTCTCTGGGAAAGCAAAGGGGACAAAATTAAAAGGACACAAATGACCAATGACAACGATAAAGGAGGCCTCAAGATGATAGATATTCAAAGCTTTAATAAATCGCTAAAAATAAAGTGGGTAAATGGAAACTTCTCGTAGACTTCCACCTCCAGAAGTGTAGAGGGAAAGTAATGTTTTTAAAGTGCTACTACGATCAAATTGTCGATATCCATTTTTAATAATTTCGTGTAAAATATGACTTTCTAACATACCTTGCTAAATTTCAACCCATTGCGACCATCAGAAATCTCTTTTTTTTACTTTTATTTCCGAGAAGTTGCGGTCGCCATTACTCTATCTCGTTCCGATTATAGCGTGGTTGAGAATTAGGGAAAATGACGTCAAATGCTCAAAATACCTCGCGTAAAATAACTCGAGTGTGCTAGACTATTGCAATGTTTGAATTTATTACAGGTACAATAAAAACCCTTTTTTAAGAACCTAGAAACTTTAGATTAACTGAAAATGTTAGACTAAAATTGTCCATTAAAACCCCTTTTACACGAGAACCTGTTTTAGCCTACAACTTTGAAACAGGTTCTTATTTTGAGAAATTCAGTCAAAGCAACAACCCAGTTCCATGTATTAATGTTGCGTTTTGTTCTGTTTATCTTGGATGGCTTTTTTAACTTGGTAAATATATATGCTTGGATTTTAAACATATTATGCATGCAATGCCAAAAATAGGCCACGCCCCCCAATGACAAACAACTCATTAATTTTGAAAACTAGACTGCGAGCAGTCTCTCTTTCGCTGTGAAATTCGACTGGCACGAACACGAAAAAAAGTGGGTGCGATCGACGAGCGGTGAGCAGCCAAGCTGCGATCTCTTTTCGCTGTGACTGGCGCCCCTGCTGCTCGCAGATAGCGGCTTCGCCCCTCATCGCTCGTCGATCACGTCCGCTTTTTCCCCGTTCGTTCCAGTCGGATTTCACAGCAAAAGAGACTGCTCGCAGTCTATTTGAAAAAAAGAACCTGTTAAAAAACCTGAGTAGCCAAATTTTCCAGTTAAGCACCATCTTTTATAATAACCTTCTTAGCCTTGCTTGGAAAAAAATAGGTTCCTATAAGCGGTTTTTACCGTATATGCTTCTGAGTCTAAAATTGAAAAAAATACCAAATTGCACCAATATTCTACTAAGGTCACAAGAACTGTCCCGTTTCGGGGGAGGGGGGTACACCCGTAAATTTTGAATAAGTGTGTGCCTCGAAGTGTCTTAAACCCTGACCTTCTTTAAGGATGAAGCAAACGAGAATTGTCCAAACACGAAATATGACACCCTGTTCAAGGAAAAACAATAACCAAACAACGGCTAACCATGCGCGGCAAACCACAAATCTCGATAAAATCGCTTTGCTGACAATTTTAGTGGAATTTGCTTTTTGTTTAGCTGGGCATTTACACACGGCAATTTTAGCCGATACAATTTACATATCCTATCTAAAGATCACACCGGAAACACAATGCTAACAGAGGCAAGCCAAAACCATACCCTATCCAGCGGCACATACATGTATATGGGAGTACCCCCACCTCTGGGTATTTAAAGTGGATATTGTTCTGCAATGTCCTCTATCAACAGTCCAAGACAGCCATTCGGGTGAAGCTCACCATGCCATCTTCTCCACATTAATTCCTTTATCCATAAAGCCATCTGGTAAAGTCGCATACGCTTTTAAGCTTTTGTAGGACAAATATCTCGAAACAGTTGTATCCCTATAAAGTGGATTTACGAAGCTACGGAACCTAATACGAATCTATATTTTCAACCGTCACCACTATTTAGTACACTAGCGTTGTAGACTACATCATCGGAAAGTAAAATTGGAAGAAAAAAAATTAAAACAAAAATTTTACCGCGCTACTCTTTTGGCGCGAGAGTAGTTCCCTCTCCATCCACTCAAATTGGAGAGCTCAGTTTTACCACTCGAAAAATCTTGCCTTTTTACAAATCAAAGGAAAGAAAGTCAATTAAGCTTTCGTTAAAATGCATGCGATCAAAAACCATTTCCCATTTGCGTTTTGGAATGTAATTTTTTTTCGGATGACAAACTGCAGTTACCGGTATACATCTTGTATTGCGGAGGACAGTAAGGAAATTAACCAATGTTTTTTAAAACACTTGCACACAGCCATTATTTTGCTCCATAAATCATTTTTTTTCCAGGCTCTCGGTGCGATCTTCGTCGCCTTGCTTATTGTGACGCACAAATCGTGCAGCACCTATAATTGTTGGTGCGCCTATAATTCGTGTTTAAACCTCTCGAACGCGGAGTAACCGTTTATGTCCCCCCTTTATTCCGCAGAGCCTCCTACCAGTCCCCCCTCCAAAGAAATGTGAGCGCGCTTTCTTTTCTCTCTTCCCAGCCTACTTGTGACACAAATAGGCCGCTGCGGAGGAGAGTGTAAACAGCCATCTCAAGAAAGGTTGTCGTACAAGAGCGTAAAACCGTACGCTATAATACCGACAGGTTGTATGGGCAACGGTTATTTTCTTTTGTTTGATCGAAGCTCACAGTCTAAGCCGGAAGGAAGGAGAATCCATGAACATGCGTACTCATGCTATCTCTCTCTATTGCGTTAAAGCAACGAGAACTTCGACCAAGCAGTGGTAAATTACTTTTACCCATAAAGCCATTTGGTATTGTCGCATACGCTCTTAAGCTTTTGTAGGACAAATATCTCGAAAAAATTGTATCCCTTTAAAGTAGATTTACGAAGCTACGTAACCTAATGCGGATCTATATTTTCAACCGTCACCACCATTTAATACACTAGCGTTGAAGACTACATCATCGGAAAATAAAATGTCCTTACTCGCGGTCCAATGGGAACAAACAGGGTTAAAAGTGTTTTGACGTTTACTAAAAACACGTGCTTGATATAGAATGAAATAGAAATCAAAACTTTATGAGTGCGGCTTGAAGTATTGCGAGTTCACTCTACTGACGTCCCGTTTGCCGTTATATTTCAAACTCGAGGTTTTAAACCCTTTAAATAGTCGAATTGTGTGCTCTTTATCGACAGACGGTGACCCTTTTTTTAAAGAATAATGACAGCAGCGGCGGAAAAAAAAGCTAAAATGCCATTCATTGTCCGATGAAATAAGCTTCCAAAGCACAGATAATAAAACCAAATATAACCAAACCTTTGAAAAGGGTGTATTAGTCTCCGACGCAATAAACATCGTGCGTTGTAGACCTCATAACTTTGATCTCTTGTAAGTGAACACAGATCATTAATTCTCACACCGCATCTATCTCCGGAAAAGTAACAGGCAAAGTCAATAGGTTTAATATACTTGAAAAACTAGAGAGTGTGAAGGACCATGCACCTAGGTATGACATGTATTTATAGCAAAGACCCTTTCGTAAGAAAGAATGCTCAATTTGATTGGTTTACATAACACATTAAAGGATCGTCTCACCCAAGATATGTTAATTACGATAGACCGATGTTTTCAAAAGGAGACAATTTCCAATTTATTTCAAGTAAAGAACACGAATCATAATTAAATGAGGCACAAATATGCTTTTATACCTAAAGTAAGATGTACAAAACATGGTCTAAGGTCTCTTCGTTACTTGGCCGCTGTAAGGACTTGGAGTTCACTGCCGGAGACGACACGCGCCATGGCCGGCACAAGAGAAATTTAAAATTGGATTCCAGACACGCAATTTACATCTAAATTAGGAGGTAATCGTATTACTTATTAGAGTTTTATATCTTTTATCGTGGAATAAACCCTCCCCCACCGGGGGGCAATGAATTATCGGCCAAGTATCAGTGAAGTATCGGTCAAGTGTCGGTCAAGTATCGGTCAAGTGTCGGTCAAGTATCGGTGAAGTATCGGTGAAGTGTCGGTCAAGTATCAGTCATGTATCGGTCAAGTATCGGTCGTGTATCGGTCAAGTATCGGTCAAGTGTCGGTCAAGTATCGGTCAAGTGTCGGTCAAGTATCGGTCAAGTGCCGGTCAAGTATCGGTCAAGTATCGGTCATGTATCGGTCAAGTATCGGTCAAGTATCGGTCAAGTATCGGTCATGTATCGGTCAAGTACCGGTCATGTATCGGTCGAGTATCGATGGTTTAAGACTATATCGGTCGACACATTTATCGGTCGACATACATCGGCCGATATATCGGTCGACTATCGACCGATAGTCGGTCGACTGTCGACCGATAGTCGACCTATAGTCGGTCGATTGTCGACCGAGGCCACCTATAGTACACATGATCCAAGTATCTGACACCTGTGACTCATTGAACTTAAGGAACTAAAATATTCATGCTGAAATTTTGCTTTGCATTCCGCATTGAGTTCTTCATCCCGTTCAAAATAATATTCTCATCATGATTAATGGGAAGTAATGGCGTAGCAGTTAAGAGCTGGATTCAAATGTACATCAGGGTGGTCTCGATCTCTTAATTTAAGTCCATTGAGACAAGATCTCAAGAACTCCATTTAATCTCATTTAACCTTGGAGTGTTGAGTTCTTTTTTTATTATTATAATTATTATAGTACGTCTAAAAAATATCTAACCTCTCACAATTGCCCCAGTGAAAGTTGGATTTAACTTAATGGCTGCTTTTGCGTCCCTTAGTGAATCCTGGTGATTTCCTGAAAACTCGATAGCTTCAAAATAGAAAAAAAAATGCCTATTGAAGCTCTCATCATCTTACCAAGTTTAGAATGTGCAATAGCCCTGTTGTTGTGCAGTTTGGCCTTCAGTTCTTTCTCGTTGCGGTTCATTTTAATTCCTTTGGTGTAAAAATGAATAGTATTGATGAAATCTCCTTTCTTGAAGGCCTCATTATCCTCATTCCTATAAACATCAGCTGTGGCTGCAAAGAAAAAATAAAATAATTCGAAAAAAAATTTAAAAATAGGTGTCAAAATCTGTGGTCGTAGTTAATAATTATTTGTGTACATACAGAGCTACCAAGATCTGGAGATTTAAAATCTGCAGATTTTCAATAGTTATGATGATGCTTATAATGTAGGTGGCAACATGGGTAAGAATAATGATGAGAATGAAGCATCACTCAACTTGAGGCAAACCCCTGGGCATTCAAATTTTTGGAGATAGGTTTCCTAAAATTCCTATTCCCTGTGCAAAATTAATAAAATGTTCAAATGCCCCACACAATTTTATGTAAAAGGCGAAATAATTAGCAATTTGACTTTCAACTAGTTGATCAAGCTTTAAAAACGAATTGACCAAGCTTTAAAACCTAGACCTTGAAGCCTTATTTCTTCTGAGCCATTTGTTAGTGAAAGTACACTATCTACCTTAAACACCTCCATATTCAATGATAATTAACACTTGTACTCTACTGGAAATTAGATGTGACAGTTTTTATTCAAATTCCCTAACGCCAGTCAGGCAGGGTTAAACCCCCTCCCCCCGCCACCCTCCTGGCTTGGATGAAGATCAAATGCCTGTGGGTTGCTCGAGGAGAAGAGAGGGAATGTTGAAGGTTTCAAAGTGATTATGTTTCATTCAAATGGAAAGATGATGGTGATGATGATGGTGATGATGATGATGGTGATGATGATGATGATGATGATGATGATGGTACCTATGATGCAAACTTACACAATGGATGTTATATGATGATCAAATAAAGTCTTAACTTATTATAACTTTGTGTTATTGCTTTGAACTGTTAGAAAAGAAAATAGCAAAAGTTTCTGTGTCATAGATCTTCTCAATGAACAGCATATTGTAATCATAGAAGAGAGTCATGACTGGTCAAATATCCTTTAAAGTGGTCATACAGTGTATGTATCCTTTTCCACATCTGCTTGCATTCTTGAAACTGATCCTGATCGAATAGAAATTGTTCTAACAATTACTGAAGCCGAAGTTGAACCTAGCTCACCTCGTAAAGTGTCCTCGTCAAAATCTGGTGCATTTTCTTTGTCAGGTAAGTCTTCATTTTCACATGGAACTTTAATTGAACTTCTTCCTGTAGCCATAGCAACTGTAAGAAGACTGATGCTTCTTAAAAAAGTTGTTCTTTTAAGTCATCCTGGCCTGAAAAAAAGGTGATTGAAAATGGTTGTAAACATCAGCTCAACATATTACCCAGTTGCAAAATAAATATTTTTTCCCTTCTGAGAATGGGAGGGATACATAGACACAAAATCAGAAGCCAATTAAGAGCTAATGTCAACATGCATCAGACAAACAGCGGCAAGTCGCCCAAATTCGTTTTCTCTCCTACTTTCATATTTTGTAGCCCAATATGTCCTAATAATTGTGGTGTAGTTTTTTTGTGAAAATACATTTTAGTTTTTGAGAAATGATTTTTTTCGTTCGACCGCTCAAATATGCAAATTTTCACTCTGAATATTACCCGAGTTGTGTGACCTCATGTAACGAATTTACTTGACCTCCGGTATTTCTGTCGGCATAATCCTTTGTTTTATCATCTTAACTTAAGCCCCTGACATTATTGAGGCTGGCAAAAAAATATTTATTTTTTGGTGAATATTTTTGTCCGACATACTTTTTCTATGTCGAAAAGTAGCATCAAAACAAAGACAGTTTTAACAGTGACCGAAATGACAGAATCTACTGAGCTTCTAGCTTTTAAAACAAAGGGATGGTTATAAGGTTACTGTAAAAATTTTCTTGTGTAATTGTGTTGTTCTATCGTGAGACGAACTCAAAGTCCGACAAAATTTACTTGCTAGCGACAATGAAATATACATGGTGTGCCTACTTGTCGCCACCTTTTATTGACATATCGAGGCATAAATCACTACAATTTGTAAAAAAAATCTAACATAACACTCTTACCTAGTTTATTTATGATTTTATAAGACCAATAAGCTGTTTCGGTCATTATATTACGCTTGGGTATTACTTTTTGCCGAGAGGTTGTGTTTTCCCCTATCCCAGTTATGTGAGAAGCTAGTCACGCAATAATTGATACCAACACAAATGAATATTTACCCTGTATGAAGATTTTTGTTTATGTTGAATTGACAATATTACAATATGTTACTTTTGTGGTCACTAATCGTTGTTTCAGTGGCAGCGTAGCAGTTCAAAGCGGGCTGTTGCTTCAACGCTATTGAAATTTATAGTGTTCTGGCGGAAAAGCAAAGCATGATGCTCTGGGAATAAAAACTCTTAGGGGCCTTTTACATGATATCGGAATGAGTTTTGTTCAAGAACGAGTTCATCCCGGTTGCCACATGATACCAGAGTAAAATTATTCGAAACGAGTCATTTCTGAATGAGTTTATTGAGGTTTTCATTCCAGAACGAAACACTTATTCTGGACGACCTTTTGTACCTGTATAAAGTAAACGCGGTACGACACTCATATCTGTATGGATCCTCTTTAGGAGCGATGAAAGCATAGAAAAGGGACGTAAATACTTGTTTTTACTACTTGTTTTTATAATCTAAACTATCTTGCATGTAAACGCGGTATGAAATTCATTTCATTCCGGGATGAAACCCATTTTGGAATAATGTAAAAGGTACCTTAGGGACGGACCATTAGATTTTTTGATGCGACAGGTGCCTAAAGTTTTTATAAGTAAATAACCAGTTTACGTGAATTTTACGAGGTGAGACTGACAGCTCGTAGTTGGCAAATCACATCTTTTGTTTTTAGGTGCTGACAGGGTGGGGGGAAGGAGGCGATCGGAAGTGGGTAAGGATGCTACTCGTACCTTTCAGGGGTCAAAATCAGTGATCTGGTACCTTTTACGGTGTCTCAAACTTTAGTGGACTGCCAGAGACTTAGCTGGTACCTTTTAGGGTGTTTTTCGCTCAATAAAATACCTGAAATAAGCATTTAATAAGCACTAGGACGATTTTAATGATCTGACTTGAGCCTCTAGAGCACATCGATAAAGAAGTTCTTATTTTTGGGATTTTTCAATTTTTTTGTGTTTAAATTGGTACTTTATAGGGGTAGATATCAGTTGTTGCCACTCCCACACGGACTCAGGTACCTTTTATAATTTTATAGGGGTCGTTTTCGAAATTCCGGCGCGCATCCTCGCCCTCTTATATATAGGGGTTCCCCGGGGGGTGCTGATACGTGCAGCACACTTGAAATTTAGCAAAGACAAATTTTGATGTGATTTTCGGTGGAGAGAAAAAGTTTTGTCAGCGTCTTGTAGCTACTACGGAAGGGCCCTTTACCACTGTGTGCTTAATTACGCGTCCCGCCAGATGGCAGGAAGCCTACAAAGTGCTCAGACATTAGTATAGAAAACTCCGCCTCTGTCTGGATTTTTGAAAATTTTTTTGAAACTCCGCCTCTGTCTGGATTTTTGAAAATTTCAAGATTTACAAAAGACAGTCCTAATTGACTGAGATAAATTGGGCAAAAATCATCATCTGTATGTTGCAAGTTCATATAATTTTTAACAGCAGCAATTGAAATTATTTAAACCAGAGGCTGTAGTAGGTAGTTAGGTAAAGTCTGTATTTAAGAGTGGCCCATCCAGGCCCTGAGCTTATAATCCTGGATTCCTCACATGAAGCGACTAGGTATTACTACTCCTCCCTGGACATGATGACAGTCCACCCCATGGTTACCCCCCCCCCCCCCCCTCTTCCCTCCTGCCATTTCATCAGGTTCCCCTGACTAATTTCTGGTACCCATTTATACTCCTGGGTGGAGAGGGGTACTGTGAGAGTAAATTATTTTGCACAAAAACAAAACACATGACCTGGCCAGGTTACAAATGCAGATCTCTTGACCCTGACTCCACCTCACTAATCATAAGGCCACCATGTCTCCACAAGAGGAGAGAGTTTATGGTGAATCCTTTCTCATAAGAAACAACTTTTACAAAACCAAAGTAAAATTCTCTTATCTGATTTTTAAATAGGGATTACTGGTCAAAACTTACAAAATATGTAAGTTTTTTATTCAATTTCCTCCAGTTGAACCGACATCCATATTTGTGCAGCTGGCAGTTAGTTCAACTGGACACTTATGACAGGAAAAACAATGAAATATATACACTAATGCTTGCTGATGTATGTTGATATGGATTTCAATTTGGTACAGGTGCTGATGTTTGTGGTTTACCAGTATATGTATATTAAACTAATTGTTTTTGCAATTATTTCATGTTTACATTGTTTTGTGCACAGAATTGATTTGTCTTTGATGCTAACTTTAATTATCCTGATAATCTAGACTGGTTGTTTTTCAAATATCATAAAATCCTTGCTGGCTGTCTTCACGTACAAAAAATTTCAAGAAATGTAGAGGAACAAGGAAATCAATTGTTCTGGAATTCAAAATAGCCTGAGATACATGTACAGTGTAGATCATTTTTTCGAAAGCCCATACTAACTTCTTACTAACCATTCGAGCACGAGTCTTTACTAGGGAATATTGGCCCAAGGTTACGGCAGTATAGAAATGTCATAGTGCCAATATTTCCCAGTACAGCTCAAGAAAGCAAGGTAATGGTCATGCACTAATGTCACTTACACTAATCTAGTGTATTGTGAATTTTCTGGCTTCCAAGTAAAAACATAGGCATGCGTAGCATGCAAGAGTTATTATTTTTTTTGACCGGGTGGGATGAGATGGGACACTTTGTGTACCTAATGTTTTCATTTTTGTAACAGAAAAAGAGCATAACTTTATAAAAGATCGAAAATATTGCATTACTTCACCTTCAGAGAGAGAGAGAGAGAAAAAAGGTAATTTAGCTGAACTCACACAGGTATCTTGTGGTCTATTTTCTCTACTGTCTAAATACTTCTAAGCAAAAATAAAATGGATTGGTGCCACGCTTACTGTTTTCTCCTTCGCAGCAGTTGTTTGGTCTCGTCACACAACGCCATCTATTCCCCGACGGAGAGAGAGCGCGTAGCGTGATGAGACCAAATAATAGTTGCGAAAGAGACCACGCTTACTGCCGTTCCTCTAACAGAGAGAAAATCAAAATTATTCGTCTACAGTTAGATGCCTGAAAAATATAATTCCATGTAATTTTACTACGAAAAGCAAACTGAAACTCTGTTGTATCTCCAATAGACTCTAACCAAAGATATATTGCGATCTCGACCAAATGAAGATACATTTCACGAGAGAAAAGGATAATATTTGAGAGAGGGCTCCTTGATTGGTTGTTGCCTATCTGGACTTTGCCCACTGTGTGTGAAATACCTTATAAAATGCAGGTTGTTTACAAGGAATAAACACGCGATTGGATTAAGTCCAAGGTAGTTAAAAGCCGAGTTTATTCGTAGAAAAAGTTAAAACGCGGGATAATTGCGTTAAAAGTTCACTATCAGTAGCATTTAGTGTAAATTTTTTCCAGTGGGGTTGGATATTGCGGTAAGAATACGTGATTAAATGCAGGTTGTTTACAAGGAAATGACACGTGATGGAGCGAAGTCTAATTTGGCAAAATGGAATTTAATTGGCGAAATAAAATTTGTAATCAGTATACTAGGTCAGGGAAGCAAATATCCCAAAAATCTGCACACTGCAAGGTAATTTCGTTTCTAAGTATTAATTCACTAATTTGAGACGACAAGGTAGTTTTCTATTACCAGAAATCCGAGATATCGATCATACTTGACCTCTCCAGGCCTTGGCCAAGAAACAAGAAGATCCATTTCAAGGATCTTTCATTTAACTTGCCAAGATCTTCATTTTTCTTCATATTTTCTTTCCAAGATTGAAGATCCTGGCAAGAAAATGAAAGATCCTTGAAGATCTTAGCAAGAAAATGAAAGATCCTTGAAGATCTTAAGAAGAATTTTGAAGATCTTTAAAGGTTCTCATAAAGATCTTGTAGGAACGTTAAAGATCCTTCAAAGATTTTCACCAGGGATGTCACAACAAGGCGAAAAATATAGAAAAGGCTCGCCGCATCGGCAATTTTTTTTCGTTGTTTTGGTAGCCACTTTGGAAATTTGGCAAGGTATTTTATGGTAGGTAATTCAAATGTGATTTATTATAGTGTACACGCAAATACGCTTGTCATAAAATCAGCTG